AAAAAAAAAAATGCCAAATGACCAGAAGGATATCTACAAGGAATTCGCCAGAAGACTACTGAAGACCAGAGAAAAATCTACAAGAGAATTTTCCAAATAAATACTGAAATACCAGAGGAAAATCCACAAAAAATTTACCAAAAGACTGCCAAAGGACAGAGGAAAATCTACAAGAGAATTCTCCAAAAAAATGCTGAAATACCAGAGAGAAATAGACAAGAAATTCACCAAAAGACCACCAAAGGACCAGAGGAAAATCCACAAGAGAATTCTCTAAAAGAAAAATGCCAAAAGACCTGTAGGATATCCACAAGAAATTTGCCAGAAATACCAAAGGAATATCCGCATGAAATTCACCAGAAAAACACTAAAGGACGAAAATGATATCTGCAAGGGATTCACCAGAAAAAATGCTAAAGGACCAAAGGGAAATCCATATAAATTCACCAGAAAAACGCCAAAGATCCAATGGAATATCCACAAGGAATTTACCAGAAAAACACCAAAGGACCAGAGGGATATCCACAAGGAATTCACCAGAAAAACGCTGAGAGACCAGAGAAAAATCTACATGAAAATTCTCCAAAAAAAAATGCCAAAATATCAGAGGGAAATCTACATGAAATTTGCCAGAAAAATGCTGAAGGACCAGAAGAAAATTCACAAAAAATGGTTGGTGAACTTTCTTGTGAACATTCCTCTAGTTTCACTAAAAATGCTGAAAGACCAGAGGAAAATCCATAAGAAAGTTCACCAACTAAACACTGAAAAGATAAAAGGAACGACAAGAGGCAAGTTTGCAAGAAAGTTCTCCAAAAACGTTGAAAGACAGGAGGGAAGTCCACAAGAAAATCCTTCCAAAACATCGAAAGACAGGAGGAAAGTCCACAAGAAAGTTCTTCAAAAACACTGGAAAGTTCTCCAACAAACGAAAGATCCACAAGAAAAAAAGTTTACCAACCAATTCCGAAAGATTAGTAAAAGTCGGTTGTATATCAGAATCCTGACACATAAAATCCCGGCACACAAAATCCCAGCAACAAAATCCCAATACACAAAATCCTGACAAATTAAAATCTTAATTTTAATATTTTTAGAATTTTAATTTGTCAGGATTTTGTGTATCAGGATTTTGTTGCCAGGATTTTGAGTGTCGGGATTTTGTGTTTCGGGATTCTGATATACAACCTGTTTAAAGATATTTTATTTGGGATGATTGAAAAGATTGTTTTCAAGTGGAGTATTACTATTAGTAATTGTTCTGGGCCAAGAGAAATCAGGGTATATATAAATAGAGGTTTGTAGATAGTTAATAAGTTGTATAATTTTGAAGATAATTGTGTGTTTGTTTGGGCTATCAATGACAGGATTGGGGTGTTGAAGAATATTAGTAGTTGATTAAAGATTATTTTGAAGCTGTTAGAGATGAATATGTGTTGTAGTATTAAGAGTGAAGTTGTTATTAATACAGTTAAGAAAATTACTAATATAGTGCTGAAGTTGTATATCCCAAATATTGTAGAGATTATAGAGATTATAGTTGAGAAGAGTACTGTTAAGAGTAGAATGAGAAAGGTATGCTTTTTGTTTAGCTATTGTAAGATATTTGCTTAAGATTTTGTTGCATTTGGATAAGAGGATTACAATATTGTAGAGCCAGTATTTAGTAGTTAGAATAATAACTGTGTTGATAATATAAATAATTTGTTTGTAGGTTATGTTTTTGGTACTTGCAATATTGTATAGTTGGATGGTCTTGTCTTGGATAAGTTTAATTTGTAATGATTGCTTGTTGTTGAGAGTAAACCAACAACTAAGAAATTTGAAGGGCTAATAAGGAGAAATTAATTGCAAATTGAAGTTAAGTAATGAGTTATTGGAGAAAGATTGTGTAGTTATGAATAGGGATTTGATAGAATTAACTTGGATACTAGCTATAGAGTAAAAAGAGAAGATAGTTTGAACAATTACTTCAAGTTGTGTTTTGAAATTTGCAATCTATAGGGTGTTATCCATATACGTGAGAATAGATATAAAGGTGTTGAGATAGTTTGTGGAATGGTGAATAAAACTAGTTAAGTAAAAAGTAGAAAGGTATATCTAGAAAAATGTAAAGAGATTTTTGAAATTAGAAGTCATAACAAATTCTCTAAAAAAGTGGAGTAATAGTTTCTCTAGTCAATTCTATTTTTAACAAAGTAGAAGTTTGTAAAACCAAGATTAATAATAACATGTTTTGTATAATCAAATAGAAGATTGGTTAGAATATTGATAAGTTGTTGAGGTATTTAAATTTGGTATAGTGATTTTTGGAATAATTCAAAGTCAGCTAAGTCATAAGTTTTACTTATGTTTTAAGAAAGAAGTCATAGTTGTTTGAATTGCAGTTTGCATCTTCAAAAATATTGTTAAGGATGTAGATAGAAATTGAAGTAGAGTTGCCAGAAAGTGCAACAAAGTTAAATAGTAATAAGATGTTGTATTAAGAGAAGATAAGGTTAAAGTGATTAGTAAAAAGTTTAGTACACATAACTCTAATTATACCAACACTCTTTAGTAATAAAAAAATTATCAATATATTCAGATATCAGATTAACAAGTGTCTCTTTTTATAGTGGCATCATATTAATAATAGGTTAATATGTAAGTTTATCAAGCATTTTAATTTTTTATTAACAATAATTTATTTTTAACATATAAGTACTATAAAGAGAAAACCTGCAAATTTTATAAGATTTGCAGATTTTTGCAAAAATTATATATATTAACTTTAATATCAAGAATAATCAAATTAAATAAATAAAATAGCTGCAAAAAGTAAGTTTATCTGCAACTAATTCTCTAGAAATCTAATATTTTTATATTTGTACTATATAATATATGCTACTTATTAAACTACTAACTGATACTATATAGCACAAACTCGATAGCATAACTGATATTTATTTTAAAAAAAATTAATTTTTATTTAATTTCACTTTAGCTAATCTTTAAAATTAGAAATTTTGTATTGCATAAACTAGTAATGATGTTATAAAATATAAGAAAAAACCTGTATACCAATTAGATTTAAGATTTTGGATTCAATTTATTCTTTAATACTGCAATAAAACTTTATACTTTATACTTGTACTATGTTTCTAGTATTATAGCCAATTAAGAATACTTGAGAGTAGACTTTATTAAAAGCAGTAAAAATATAATTATAAATTGCATGATTTAATAATAATAATTATAATATAAATATATATATTTAAAATATTTATGAATTTGATTTGCACTAAATTAAAAACAAATTAAATTTGTAAAACATTATTTAATAAAATAACATTTGCTTATACCTACTAATTTAATTTATTTATACTTACTAATTATGATTTATTTATTTTTTAATTAAAAAACAAATTCAATTATATTTGCTTTAATTTTTTTTTGTTAAATAAGCAAGCTCTTTTCATATTCATTTAAGTTTAGCAAAAACTTTAATATCAATTTCAAATTTTGACTCAAGCTATTCATTATAACCCAATATTAAGTATATTATAGTAATAACTTGAGTTGGTATAATAGGTTTTTACTTTTTTAGTTCTTCTTCTTCAGGTTTATTTTCTTGTATTTTTTTTATAAGCTTTTTGATTGTAGACATTTCACCTATTAAATAGTTATTATCAATTTTAATAAATTGGTATATAGAAATATTTAAATATTTAGGATTTTGGGAATTTTTTAAATTCTGAAATTGTATAATAAGTTTTTTTTAATTCAACTTCCTTATTTTTGTTATTTATTTTAGCTAAAACTTCTATATCTAGATATTTATCAATTTCTATTAAAGGAAGAATACCAGTTTTTTGCCATGAATAAATAACTGTATCTTTGAAAACATTATTCTACATCTGTGCAACAAACTGAATTGTATCATAAATTGTAACAGGGTCTGGATATTTATTAATTAGATTTGCTTCACTAAATATAGCAATTCAATTTTGTAATAATAGCTTGCGATAGTAATACTAAATTGTATAAATACTATTAATTAAAATTTTAAAAAAATTTTAATAATAATTCTAACTTTAAATGAGTAGATAATTTCAGCATCATATAGTTGTAACTATGCTGTAGTATTTTTTAGAAGAAAAACTACTTTAAATTTAAACCTTCAATAAATATGCTAAACAATTATCTACAAGTAAAAGAATTTTGCAATAAGCAAAATACATATGATTATTTAATTGTAATAACTAGTTTTGAAAAATTGAAATCTGTATTCAGGCTTTTTTGTTCCAATAATATTTAACAGATAAAGATGATTTTTTATTCCTCTTATTGCATGTGGATTTTTAAGTTTATAGATAAAATAAGAGGCAATTTATTACCAACTGCATTGCATATTAACATTATTGTAACCTGATTTTTTGGCTTTTTAACACCTGCAATACGATTATGAGTAAGTGATTTTGAAGATTCTAAGAGCCAATAAAGTGCTGTTTTAGCACAGTTATAAACATCTACAAGATTATAATTTACTATATCATTTTGTAAAGATAAATAAAATTCTGGCAATTTTTTAACTAGTGTACTAACAGCCTCACCATGATTTATAGTATAAACTATATAATATTGTTTTTTAAAGCCTTGCAACCACCTATTAGAAGCAGCAAAATTTTGAATATTTAAAGTGTTTGCAATTTGTTTTGCCTTTTCTTGCAAGATTAAACCTATTATAGTTATATAGTTTTTTAATATAAGATTAAGGGTTTGGGCTCTATAGCTTACTTGTTAAGTTGCCAAACCCCCATGGTAATTAAGTTAAGGTCCACGGTTCGAGT